TGTCCCAAGCCAGACCCACAATGAAGCCCAGCCACGGTCTGTTCCTGCTGCCCATGCTTCCCCTGAGAGCGAGGGCTCAGGCCAGGCTATGAGCCAGGCTGGGGGCCCAACGATGGCAAAGGGCTCCCTAGGGACCCCCAGCTCACTCACCTCGCCGGGTCCTGGCTTGGTGGGCGAGCCCTGGGAGCCTGAGACCAGGGAGAAGGGGCTGAGGGGGCTGGTGAGGCTGGCTGAGCTCAGGGGGCTGGCGGGGCTGTTGGAGCTGTACGTCCCCGAGGGGCCAACGGCCACTGTGGAGCAAAGCAGAAATAAATGCATGTGGCAGAGCCTCCACCACCCCCCCAAGGGCGTGCCCAGGCACTGGGGCTGCCCCAAGCCCTGGCACGCTGGGGTTTGCTCTGTGCCAGGGCAGGGAGGGAGCCCGCTCACCTCTGTGCTTGGCAGTGTCCGTGCCACGGGATGGGTTGTTCTTCCTCAGTCCCTCCATGACGTCCTGGATCCTCCAGATCTCCTTCTGGATCTGCCTGTTGAGCATTTCGTTCTGGAGGGGAGAAGAGGAGGCGGTGGAGCAGCTCCCACCCACTGCCAGCCTCACTGCACCACAGCCACGAGCCGAGCCACGGGACCCACGGGTGTTCCACGAGGCAGACGCAGCCCGGGGAGGTCTGAGCCATCACACCCACGACTCCTCTCCTGCCAGGAGCTGTCATTCCAGTCCCCCCGGCACCCACCGTGGGCTGCAGGGTGCTGGTGGAGCCCCAGCAGCACGGGGAGCTGCTCCCACCTACCACAGTTCCACAGCCCCTCTCTGCCCTCGCCCGTGGCCAAAGCTGGACGTGGAGAAGTGAGCACAGAGCAGCCACTTGCAAACCAGCTCTTTGGGGGGAGCAGAGGGCTGAAGGAACCAGGGGTTCCACCTCCGTGGGGCTGGTGGGGGTCCCCCAGGCGTGGCAGTGGGGACCCTGGGGCTGGTGGGGTCCTGCTCACCTGGATGTCCAGGTTCAGCTGCTCCCAGAGGTCGTCGTGCAGGGTGGACACCTCGCTCTCCAGGCTCTCGTACTCAGCGGTGCTGTTCGCCAGGGCCTGGGGGGCAGGTGAGGGGTTAGGGGGCTCGGGCAGGTTTCTGCCCCTGGCTGGCAGCAGCCCTGGCCAGCACCATGTGCGGGCACCCAGGAAAACACGAGGACATTGTACCCAACACAACCCACCCTGAGCTGGGGAGGGGGTGGCAGCAGGGGGGGAGGGTACCAGCTCTGCTGTGCCCATGGGAGTGCCAAGACATGGGAGGAGGAGCTGAGACAGCTCCAGACAGCTCCGGGCACATGTGCCAGCTTGGCACCACGAGGGTTAATTTGCTTTGTCTCCAGTTAAGGACTTTAGCTTGTCTTCAGCCAGCCAAGAGGATTTCCCTTCTTTTTTTTTGGGTTTTTTTTTACAGGAAGGGGATCTGGGCGGGGGGGGGAGGCAGCCCTGGCAGGGCCCTCACCGTGCTGGCCTGGGACAGCTCCACACGGATGTTGATGAGCTGGTTCTGCAGCGATTCCTTCTTGTGCAGCAGCTTCTCCGGGTAGGCAGGCTGGCTCCCAAACATCTCCAGCTCCTGGTGTGTCCCCATCAGGGCACTCTCCAGGCTCTCCTGGGATGGGAGGGACATTCAGCCACCAGTGCCTCCCTAACAGGCCATTAACACAGAGTCCTGGGACTGTGGCATGGTCAGAGCATCTCCCCCAGCTCTGAAACCTCCCCAGGAGAGCAGGACATGTTCCTTCCCTGCCATGAAGATGCTGTTTGGACATCCCATACAGCTTCATCCCTGTGTGGCCACTTGAGCTGCCCACCACGTACCTTCTCTGCTCGGAGCTGCTGCACCAGCCTCTCCTGCTCCCGCAGCACCTTGTTCTGCTCACAGAGCTTCCCCAGCAGCTTCTGCCCCCAGGAGGGGAAGAGAAA